AAACCTCACTTGGAGAATTTTGAGCATTACTTTGCTAGCACGTGAAATGAGTGAAATTGTATGGTAGTTTGAACATTCTTTGGCATTGCCTTTCTTTGGGATTGGAATGAAAACTGACCTTTTCCAGTCCTGTGGCCACTGCTGAGTTTTCCAAATATGCTGGCATATTGAGTGCAGCACTTTCACAGCATCATCTTTTAGGATTTGAACTAGCTCAGCTGGAATTCTATCACCTCCACCAGCTTGTTCATAGTGATGCTTCCTAAGGCCCACTTGACTTCGCACTTCAGGATGTCTGGCTCTAGGTGAGTGATCACACCATCCTGGTTATCTGGGTCATTATCTCTTGTATAGTTCTTCTGTGTATTCTTGCCACCTCTTCTTAATATCTTCTGGTTCTGTTAGGTTCATACCATTTCTGTCCTTTATTGTGCCCATCTTTGCATGAAATGTTCCCTTGCTATCTCTGGTATTCTTGAAGAGATCTTCTTTCCCACTCTATTGTTTTTCTCTATTTCTTCACATTGATCACTTATGAAGGCTTTCTCATCTCTCCTTGCTGTTCTTTGGAACTCTGCATTCAGATGGATATATCTTTCCTTTTCTCCTTTGCCTTTCTCGTCTCTTGTCTCAGGTATTTGTAAGGCCTTCTCAGACAACCATTTTGTATTTTTGCATTTCTTTTTCTTGGCGATGGTTTTGATCACTGCCTCCTATACAATGGGGTTTCCCTTGTGGCTCAGCTGGTAAAGAATCCACCTTCTGTGCGGGAGACTTGGATTTGATTCCTGGGTTAGGAAGATCTCCTGAAAAAGGGAAAGGCTACCCACTACAGTATTCTGGCCTGGAGAATTTCATGGACTGTATCATGGGGTCACAAAGAGTGAGACCTGACTAAGCAACTTTCACTTTCACTTCGCTTTCACTCCTGTAGAGTAATATGAACCGCCATCCATAGTTCACGCACTCTATCAGTACTAATCCTTTGAATCTATTTGTCACTTCCACTGTATAATCTTAATGGATTTGATTTAGGTCATACCTGGAAATGATATGTCTGTCAGTAAATACAAAAGATAAGTTTTCCTTTGTTTCTAAATACCTATCGGTTGTTTAAAAAAAAAAGTTTACAGTGTGTGGTATTTATAATATATGTAGAAGTAGAGAAAAGTAATAGCACAAAGGATGGGAGAGGACAGTAAATCAAATTATGTTAAAATAAGTTTATTGTATATAAAGTTGTGTAGTATTAAGGCAGACTGATGATGGTGCATCTCTCACCCAGCAAAGGGAACAAGGGTATGGGGCAAAGTCCAGAGGAAACCAAAGACTGGCTCTGAAGAGTCCTCTCCCAATGTAGTTACACAGGATGTGCTTAATTCCTCCAGCTTTGTTATGACATCTGTGAAAACATTAGGCCTATCCCCGTTAGGCACAGTGAACCATTATCAGTTAGGGAATAGTGGGAACCCTCCCCCAAATCCAAGTTCCCAGATGCCAACTAAGGGCCAAATTGGCAAGGCCTTTCAAAGGATAGCAATCCCAGCCCTGCTATTTTAGTTCTTTTTTATACCGTTGTTCAGGGCAGGCTTTGCAATGAGGAAAAGCAACATATGTGGGGTGTCATAGACCAGGTGGGATGAGGAGGGTGTCTACAAATAATGGACACTTATTCTGAGGAAGTCATTCATATGGGTGGGGGCAATCTGGAATGAGGAATAGCTTCTCAAGAACAGAGAGGTGTTATATGGGGGACGGTGTCAGCACAGATGACAGACTGCTCACATACAGGAGAGTTGGCTCAGACAAGTCAATGTACATTAACCCTACTGGAGCCATGCCTCCCACTGTTGCAGAGAGGAGTTACGAATACAAAAGAATGAAACATGTATGGTTGGGTTGGAATTGGATTTAAGAATATGAATTCATAATTTAAGACATATAAAAGCAGATGAAGAAATGTAGATGTAAATATGTGTCTGTGTACACATATTCTCTATTTCTTTGCATTGAGAAAGCCTTGGAGTAATTACACCCCAAAAGCAATGAGCACACATATCACTCCTGTCTTCTAAGTTCTCCCCTGTCTTAGTCTGTTCAACCTGCCATATTTTTAGGTGGCTTTTTTGTGTTTTCTTTGGTACATGGCATGTGGGACCTTAGTGCCCCTGAGCAGGGATCAAACCTTCAGCCCCTTCAGAGATAGCATGGAGTCTTAACAACTAGACTGTCAGGAAAGTCCCTTTATTTGCTTCTTTGTGCTTGCTTTTAGTTTAGTTTGCTCTTTTTCTAGTTTCTTAAAGTGGATAGTTAGATTATTGAGATTTTTCTTATTTTTTCAACATAGGCATTTACAGCTATAAATTTCCTTCCAAGGACTGCTTCTGCTGCATCCAGTAAATTTCAGTATGTTGTTTTAATTTTCATTCATTTCAATGTATTTTTGACGTTCTCTTGTGATTTCTTCTTTGTCCCATTGACTAAGAATATGCTTCTTTTAATTTCCACCAGATGGAAATTGGATGGTGTAACTAGACATGTGTTACATCTACTAGGTATATAGAGTTGTTCAAGTCTTCAGTTTCACTGTAATCTTTTGTGTAGTTGTTTCCTATGATTTTATACCAATTACTCGATTCCCTGTACTAGAGTCTTCTTTTCTCCTTAAAATAGCTTGAGAAATTTCTTTTTACTACCTCTAAACCATGTTACACTCATCAATAAGGAATTAGTTAACTATATTGATACCCAGGTAGCACAGTGATAAAGAGTCCACCTGCCAATGCAGGAGACATGGGTTTGATCTCTGGCTGGGGAATATCCCTGGAGGAGGAAATGGCAAACCTGCTCCAGTATTCTTGCCTGGAAAATTCCATGGAGAGAGGAGCCTGGTGGGTTATAGTCCTGTGTTTGCAGAGGCAAACTTGACAGTGACTGTGCACATCCACACACGTGCACAACACATACACACAATTGATATTAAGGCACATGCCTATGACTGAATCCTCTAAGGCTCTAAAACTATAATCTAGAAAAATTAAGACATGAGAAAAAGTCACAGTACATCCTTACATGAAGTAGGCAAACTATAAAGAATATGTACTGTCTGATTTCAGTTTTGTTAAAATACAAAAGACTGGAAAGAAACTTCAAGAATCAAAAATGATTTGCTCAGTGTAAGTGATGCAGTAATATTCTAATTTGCCTTCTCCATGCTAATCATATCCAAGAGTAGCAGGTACAGGATAGCTGGTAGGGCTTTAAAACTAGGTTGTACAGAATTCCAGTTCCACCCCTGACTAGTTGTTTGACCCTGACACACAATTTTCCAAGCAAGAGCTAATAACAGTACCTGTATCAAAGGATGCTGTTCTGTGCTTAGCAGTTCAGTCCTGTTGGACTCTTTGTGACCCCATGGACTGTAGCCCACCAGGCTCCTCCATCTATGGGGATTCTCCAGGCAAGAATACTGAGTGGGTTGCCATGCGCTCCTCCAGGGGAATCTTCCCAACCTGGGAATCGAACCCAGGTCTCCCGCATTGCAGCAGATTCTTTACCATCTGAGCCACCAAGGAAGCCCAAGAATCCTGGAGTCAGCAGTCTATCCCTTTTCCGGTGGAACTTGCCGACACAGGAATTGAACAGAGCTCTCCTGTATTTGCAGATGGTTTGTTTACCAACTGAGCTACTGAGTCAGCCCAAAAGGATAATATAAAGATTAAATGAGCTAATACACTTAAGTCCTTAGTGCCTACTACATAAGTGCTTTAATAAATGTTAGCCGTTATCTTCCAACTACAATCCATTATGCATACTACAGCCAAAATGTAGCAGGCCACTCCATTGTAAAAACTGTCCCCTGGCTTCCTGTCTCACTCAAGGGGGAAAAAAAAAAAAAGCAAGCTCTTTAACCCTGATTAGAAATTTCTGCTTGATCTGGCCCCTGTTTACCACTTCTATACTCTCTTCATTTCTTCCCCTCCAGGACAACGCTCCAGATACACTACCTTCTTTCAGATCTTAAAACACACTTACTTGAGTTTTGCACTACTTATCCTGCCTGCAAAAATCTTCACAAAAAGACTTGTCATTTGAAAGTCAAATTTAATCTTCTTAGATCTTTCTGTGACTACCTTTTAAAATCAGCGACTCAGTTACTCTCTACTATTACCCGCTTTCTAAATGGCACTACTTACCCATATAGTTAAACAACCTTCTCCTCCCTAATTGTTTTGCCTCTTCTTACTAGAGAATCTGGAGAAGGAAATGGCAACCCACTCCAGTAATTCCTGCCTGGAAAATCACATGGACAGAAGAGGCTGGCGGGCTACAGTCCATGGGGTCGCAAGAGTTAGACACGACTTAGCTACTTAACCACGACCACAAAAGTATCCTTTTCATGAGAGCGGTACCTGATACACACGTGTTCCATATTCACTTTTTGCTGAATGAATTATATTTCAATGTGTTTTATTTTCCTTTTTAAAGTAAAATCAATCCTATATAATTTAAATAGTATTTTAGGGATTACCACATAATACTCTGTCATTAGTCGGCCTGAGCAACAGCTACTTTGGCAAACTAGGTGTCTCTGGGTAAGTTTCTCGATCCTGTTTCCTCACTTGAAAAATGGGAATGTTACCTATTTCATAAGGTATTGCAAAAATTAAAAAACACAACATAGATCAAAGCGCTTCAGGACTCAAAGAAACTTTTCTAGTTACAAACAAACAAATTGCTCCTTAAACCTAAAGACCTCAGTTGGCAAATCTGCACCAAGACCTCCGCCAGCTTGGAAGAGTCGCTCTAGCCGCCGCCTTCACCTCTATAGAACGCAGGGGCAGCCGGGAAGTGGGGCGCTGGACCAGGAGGCCAGTGCACGCACTTCCGCCCCCCGCGTCGCTTGCAACCAATCGGCCTCTGATGTCCACGCCCCTTCCGTTCCAGGGAACTACCAGCTCCCAGAGCGTCTTCCGGTGGGAGCTTTGCTGCTCCTTATCATGGTGAGTTGGCCAGGGTCGTGAGGGTTTGTTTTGTGATTCCTCTTATCTTCTCTGGTTCCGAAGCGGCCTAGAAATGCTTCAGCTGCCCAGAGGAGGGTTCGTCAGAATTATGCTCGAGGTCCCCGGAAGGAGTCTCTAGCGTCCGAGAGAGTGCCCTCAGAGCTCTGATGCCCCCTCGCTCCCTCACCCGGTTCCTTTGCCTCTTGGGACCCCGGCATCGCTCCAGACCGACATTTCGGTTCTGATGAGTGTATGACTCCTCCCTGCCGTGATATTCTTGATACAGAAATAAAAGTCTTTGCTGGTGTCAGTAACCGCAACACCGACAAAAGATCTGAAAACAAGTCCACAGCAGCAACGACCGTATTAGTGATGCTTACAGCAATGATGATAACGTTGCATTAATGAACAGCATGATTAATAGGCCATTGAAGCTGACGGCTCACTCTCCCAATTGGTTTTATTGAGTGCAGATAGCCGGGTACAGCACAACTTTCAGAAGGCCAAAGATTGGCGAAAGTCAAGGTGTCGGTCGTTCCTCTTTCTGCAGCTTTTTTGGTGCGTTTGTAGATTCCAGTATACCTTAGGGCTTTAGCAATGTGGTGTTTCAATTTTGTTAGACAAGTTAGTTATTTGATTCTTTCATAAATCAAATATATAGCTTTCTGAATTTTATCTACGGGTAAGCAGTGGATTGTGATTTCAGTATCAAACGAGGTGCACACCATTTTATCAGAAAAATTTATGGATCTGTTATTGATAGCCTGTATATGACAGAACGACTGTGTTTCTGTGTCTGAACATTGTCATTCCGTTTTTTCCTTGAGTGGATATGGTGGGAAAATGTTTTATTTATCTACTTAAATATTTTCTAAATTTCCTGTAATCTTTCCTTTAAACATGCAGAAAGTAGGTAAAAGTTTACTCTTTTGGCTGACCAAATAGCCTCTGTGTTCAACATCAGAACATTCACCACTCTGTAGTAGAGTTAAGTTTCTGAAACTTGACCATATCAGTCCCTTGCTTAAAATTCTTCCTTTTTTTTTCTTTAGCCCACAAGCTAAAGACCTGTTTAGTATGGCAAGCAAAGACATCTGTAACATAACTTCTTACATTTGCAGGTTTTTTTCACGCATACATACATATATCCATATTCCAGCTACCATGAACAGCTTGCGGATTGTGCTCTAAGAATTAGACCTTTGCACTGAATTAATATATGCTGTTCTGTCTGCCAGAATCGTTCTCCATCCCTTAGGTGTCCTTTAGTCTCTTTCCTGAGCCTTTCTGTCATGTCTCAAGGTCCTATTAAGTGCCTCCTTTAGGCTCCTATGAGGCTGCTTTTTACCAGTAACATCTGTAGCCCTTACCAGACTGTGTTATGATTGTGTATTTACTTGCTTGTCTTTCTCACTTCCTAGGCTATAAGCTCTTTAAGAGTAGAACCTATGTATTCACTGTCATTTTCCCAGAGTCTTTTGTACAGTGCCTGGCCCAGAGGAAGTTTTCAATAAATATCTGTTTCACAGAATGATGAATAAGTAACCTTGGCAGTAAATTTTTATGTTTGAAACATTAGTAATAAGGGAAATATTAGCATTTAAGTTTTATTTAAAAAATTGCCCATTATTTATTATTAATAACATATATTATGTGCAAAGCATAGTGCTATCTTAGAAAATGTTGGGAAATATAGCCCTTGTCATTGGTGAAGTTACTGAAAATGAACTTGCCATGCAAGATGACAACATGAAGGCTAGCCTGCGGTGAATTACAAAGCAAGTGGCATTAAAAAAAAAAGCAACTCGTTTAAATAACCTAATATGGCTTCTTGCAGGAAGTGAACTGAGTACTTTGTCCATTTATCCCAGTCTCTTAGTCTGCTGCTGTTCATTACTCTCTTCTGTGTGAGGAAACAGAGAGGTCAGATAACTTGCTAAGTGCTACAGGGCTATTAGTGCCTGGGTTAGACCAGTCTGACCTTTTTACTCTAGAATTATCGATATGATCATGAGACAAGTAGTATACCAGTATAGTGGAAATTGAGGAGAGCAGTTTTTTTGAGGAGAGCAATTTCCTCAATAGTGGAAATTGAGCAAGAGGAAAAATGGAAAGAAACAGGCTAATTCACTGAACACATTGAGTTCCAGGTTGTAAAATTTGGTATTTATTCTGATAGCAGTGGAGAGCCAATATAACTTTAGAAAGAGGCACATTAAGATTAGGGTATTTGTAATTGTTCCTGCACTATCAGAATGGCATCAGAAATGGATGTCTGCCTTTTAGAAACCTTATTGATTATCTTAACCTGAAACTTAAAGTAACTGAAATAATTTTAAATGAGCTAGAAGTTAGAAGATATTCAAGGATACCAGTAGTAAGCAGAATTTGTCTTTGGGACCAAAATATCCCACAAATAATTCTTTAAGAATAAAGTATGTTTGTTAACATTAACATTTATTAACATCTCAGATAAAAATAACATATTGATCCTTTTCAACTGAATTGGCTTAGCAGAGCCTTAGGTTATTCATATACACTGATCTTTATTTGGGTATCAAAATTTGTAATACCTTTTTCTTGGTGCTTTATTTTTACATTTTAAAGTATATCTTTTAACTTTTTATTGTGTAAACTTTCAAACATGCAGAAAAGTAGACTATCATAAAGTCCCCATGTAGCCGTAACCTGGCCTCCACAGTTACCAACATTTTACTGTTTTTGTTATGCCACATTTCTAGCACTCACCCTATTTTCTGCCTTCGCTGAGTCTCAACATAATGCAACTAATGACATGTCAAACTTAAAGAAATGGAATATATCATTTTATAGCTACTGAGATGTTTCTAAATGCTAACTGTAGGCAAATCATACTTCTGCTTGAATTGGATCTGAAACTTCACATTTTTAATCTGTTAACTCCCATTTCCTCTGCTGTTTGTGAAAAGTCAGTGTTTGAGTCAAATTGGCCAACTTTAATGAGAGAGAAATGCGGTGTGATATAGTGATTGTGGCCTTTACCATCTAGGAAAATGTTTTGTTAAAGTTGAAATCCAAATATTTAAGTGCGTGGCACTTAGTAGTCAAGTTATTGTGTATGACCCATTGAAAATTGTGAAGGATATTTTTTCTCTAGGAACAATTACTTTAACTTTGTATTAACGAAGATTTTCAGTTTATTTTTCTAGGGTTTTCTTTCTTTTTTTTTTTTGGTAGATTATTTCCATCTTGAAAGTATATAGAAAATGTATCAGTATTTTTCCTTTAAAACTTCTTGATTTTATGTCCTATTAACAAAAGTCTTCTCCACATCCAAGGTTATAAAATTATAACATCTGTGAGTTTCTTCAATGTTCTGTTGTTTTATATTTGAAAACTTAGATTGAGAAGTATAGTAAGGACCTATCTTTGCCTTTTTCCAAATACCATTTATTGAATAACCCATACTTTCTCCTACTGATGTTGGATACTACCTTACTTTCAGGTTAATTTCCTATATGTGGTTGAGCTCTTCTTTATGTTAAGGCTTTCTTACATTGTTTCCTGAACTTGAGTGGAAATCCCTCTGTTCTTTCTCTGCTAGGACTGCGTACTAGCAGGGACCATGGAAGCTAGCTAGGATGTCACATACTTTGAATGCCTAAGAGAGAAACTCAGAGGTTTGACTCTAATAACAGTTGCCAAACCTTTCCTATATAAAGCTTCAATTAGGTAAATGGTATAATTTCTTGGAAATTAGAGCTACTTGGAAACTGCTTCTCCGGTTCAGAATTGCCTCGGCAGTCTATGTTAAAGCAGAGTTTTTGGCCCTGAGCTAAAATTCCCAGGTTTGAGTTCCTGCTCAGATGTCAGTAGCGTTGTGTGCTTACTTTACTAAAACTTGCTTCCACCACGTAGGTTATTGTGAGTCTTGAATAGATAAATACATGTGAAGTGTCCAGAATAACTGCTTGGCGTGTATCAAGCATTCAAGAAATGCTAGTTGTGATTTACTGTATCATAGGAGTGCAGAAGCTTAGGTACTTAAATGCTGATTTGTATACTTTTTGTTTACTTTAAAGGGGACAATTCATCTCTTTAGAAAACCTCAAAGATCTTTTTTTGGCAAGTTATTACAGGAATTTAGACTTGTAGCAGCTGATCGAAGGGTAAGTTATTTTTATTTCTTAATCCTAATTTTAATTATTGTATCAACAATATTATAAAGTTGAAAAAGGTAATTTTTAAGACAAATATAAATCACTCTCCATTCATCACAGTGTTTTCATTTTTTTTGTTGGATAAGTAATTTGTTAATGTAAAATCACAGCACTTTAGTATACAGTTGTTATGCCTGGGAGGAAACTCGGCTTCGATTAGTTTTTTTTTTTTTTTTTCTGATTTTAAAGAGTTTTGAAGAAAAATTGGTGATTGCCTTATGTTGTTAGTTTTTTAACAAATTAAGTGGATGTGGTCTGAAGCCATGTTTTCTCATTTTGAATGTAAGGCAGAAAACAAGTTTTCTCTTTAAGTTAAACTTTGAGACTATAAACAATTGGTACCCATTTTGGTCACCAGTGTAGGCCTTCTAGTTATTCTGTTTTCATTGTTCTCATTACTGTCTCATTTATACTGTACGTTCCTTGAGGGTAGTGACTGTGTGTCTCTTGCTCACATTTTTAATAAAAGTATAAAATAAAATTTTAAATAATGCTAGCTTTATGTAACATAATAAGCAGAAGCAATGATATTGACCATTTCTTGTGATACTAAAGACTTCTTTTCTTTGTTTTTTACCCTTTTATCTCCTGTTTATAAAACCTTTGGACATAATCAGAAGTCAGTAATTCTATTATTTGGAAATATTCTCACCTCTAGATGTTAAACTTCAAGAGCCAAGGGTAGGGAACTAACTCACCTGCTTCTTACATATCTAGTCCATTTAGGATGCTCTCTTGAGAACAGATAGTTATGATGTTGATGGAAAACAACTTGATTGCATAAGTAAGCAGGAAGTTCTTTAAGTACGCTTCAGTGAAGCACAGTATACCACAGAATAGGTAGTAGGAACAAAACTGATAGAGGAACACCTGGATTATACAGATAATCTCTATCATAATTTAAATCTGAAGAGATACACCTGGCTCATTGCTATTCATTACTTCTCCTGCCTTAGTTCTTAGTGATTTCATATTTCATGTGAAAGGTCCTTACCTCTCAGTTCCTCACCACAAATCTTGTCCTGTGTCCCTCTCAACTGTCCGCTCCTGTGATCACACCATGCTGTCGCTGCTGTTCCACCACTAAGTCATGTCCGACACTTCTGTGACCCTGTGAAGCCCACTATGTGCCTATGTCCAAGAAATTGCCCAGGCAAAAATACTGGAGTGGATTGCCGTTTCCTTCTCCAGGGAATCTTCTGACTCAGGGATCGAACCCGCGACTCCTGCTTGGCAGGCAGATTGTTTACCACTGAGCCACCAAGGAAGCCCGATCATGACATACACTTTATCATTCACAATAACTATCCTCCCATTGTCTCAGTTATAAGCGTTTTACTCATCAGTCACCATCTCTCGTCTTTCCAGTTCCCTTCTCTTGCTGGGACCTTCAGTTCATTGACTCTGCTGCGTTTTCACTGTTTTTCCCGTCTCATCGGCAGTTGCTTGCTTATCAATTTAGATTCTCTGGTTCATCATTTTCGTTTTCTTGCACATGCCTTCAACTCCTTTGTTCCCATCTTCTGTCTATCATACTTTATTGGTAAATCCTTAACTTTATTAAGTCTAGTTTACTCTGTACCTCATGCAAGCAACTGAGTGTAGCCTTAGACACAAAACCGTGCTGTCTGGTCTTACTTTGTATTTTTTTTTTTGCCATGCCATGCCACGTGTGGGATCTTAGTTCCCCAACCAGAGATTGAACCTGTGACCCCTTCAGTGGAAGCACAGAGTCTTAACCACTGGTCCACCAGAGAATCCCCTGGTCTCATTTTAAATTCATGATCAAGTATGCCATTAGTGCTGCCCATACTATATTTTCCTAGTTTTTTCAATTTCCCACATTCTTAAGTGACAGTTTTATACCATTTTCTTTCACTTCTATCCTCAAACTCCCCAAACCTTGTTCATCCTCACTCTAACCTGTTGGATCTTGCTTCCTGTTTCTCTGAAGGAAAAGATGAAATCAGAAAACTTCTGCATCCTGTCATTAGCACATCTGCTAGCACATCTGCCAACACTCTGCCTTCCCTCACATTTCTTTGGATGAACTGTCTGATCTGCTCCATAAGGCCAGTCCCTCCGTTGTTGCCTTACTTAGAGCCAGTGTTCCTAGAACCATTCTTTTTTCTCTTGCATTGCTATTCCTTCTTTAATCTTTCTCCTTCTTGCATCATAATTACTTGCCATAAATACCACTCTCAGCTGCTGCTTCCTTTCTCTGCTTGCTTTTGAAGCAAAACTGTTTAGAATTTTCTTTACTCTCTTTGTTTAGTTTCTCTTCTCCCTGTTTCTGTTAAGCAAAACCAGCCTAACTCTAGTCCCCACTTATCCACAGAAACTGCTTTTCAAGTACCTAATAACCTCTGTGTTGCCAAAAGCAATGGTCATCCTCATTTCCCATCTTATTTGGCCTTGAATGGCATTTGAATCAGTCTTCCTCCTTAAAGCATTTATTCACTTGAACCCTGAACTGCCACCCTTGATTTTCCTCCTGCTTACTTCTTGGAAGTGTGAATGTATTAGACACTCAGTCTTCTCCGACTCTTTGTGACCCCGTGGACTGTAGCCTGCCAGGCTCCTCTATCCATGGGATTCTCAAAGCAAGAATACTAGAGTGGGTTGCTGTGCCTTCCTCCAGGGGATCTTCCTGACCCAGGGATCGAACCCATGTCTCTTATGTCTCCTGCATTGGCAGGCAGGTCCTTTACCACTAGTGCCACCTGGCGGGGTGGGTGGGGGGCACTTACTTATTAGTCTTTATTTTTAAGTCTGCTTTGTTACTCTCCTCCCATCTTTCTGACTTCTGAGTTTGGAGTGTCCCAGGACTTTACAGAACTCTGGCCTCTCTTGTTTGCCTCATTCCATCTTGGTGACACTTTCACTACCATATGCTGATGACCCTGTATTTATATTTCAGCCTCTACCTTCTTCCCTACCTTCAATTCCTATATATAATGGCCTTATCAACATTTTCACTCAAATATCTAATAGCCATCTCAAATTTAGTAAGACCAAACCTGAACTTTGATTTTCTATCACTTCTTCACTACATGGCTCAGGCCAGAAACCTTGGAGTCACCTTTACCCCTCTCTTTCCTTCACTCCTCACAGCTGTTTTATAAGTAATTCCTGCCAGCTCTGTCCTCATAATACCCAGAATCTGACTCTTCTAACACCCACCTTCAAAGCTACCATCATTCCCCACATGGTTTATTGCAAGCACATTCTAAATGGTCTTCCTACTTTCATCCTTGCCCCTGTGCAGTATATTCTAGGTTGAGAAGCTGAATGAGCTTTTTAAAATGAAAGCTAAGTCAGTGTTCCATCTCATCTGGAATACATCCCAGTTCTTTTCCCAGCATACATGACACTACTTAATGTAGCCCCAGACTTTCTCTCACCTCTCTTGTCTAGCTGTCCTCAGCCCCTCTTTTGTCTCAAACTATTTGCACTGTGGTTCCTGTTTTCTCTCTGAAATGTCTGGATGCTTAGCATCTTGGCCTCTTTCAGATTTCTGGTGACATGTCATCTCATCAGAGAGCTCTTTTCTGATCACCCTATCTGAAGAGCAGCTCTTTAATCTTCCCTGACTGTGTTCTGACCATGCTTTTTCTTCCTAGCACTCATCACCTCCTGACTTTATATATTTGCTTCTTGTCTCTCACCCCACCTGGATTATAAGGGCCATGTTTCATTCACTGCTGTATCTCCTGTGCCTCAGATAGTATCTGTTACAAAATAGATACTCAAATGTTTGTTGACTAACAGCTTGACTGGGCATTAGAACAGCATGTGTTACATGCTATATCTGCCTTTTCTGACTGTTACTGAATCCCTGTCCTGACTAGGCCCCATGTCCAGTCATGTCCTCATTAGGCATGCAGTCCCTCATCCTGTTAACCTGTCATATCAGTTCTCAAGTTTCTGACATCCCCATGTCAGCTGCTCTTCTGGTTTTACTCCTTGAGGAGCAAGTTCGAGAATGGTGTCTCCCATAAATTCATGCTGGTAATTGTTCTTCTCTTTGATGATTCAGTAATGTATTCACCATAACAGCTACTCTGAAGATTTTTTTCTGTATTTAATTTTCCAGTCCTACTTTACCATATCTCTTAGTTTTAGGAAATGGCCTTGTTTCTTCCTTAGATTTATAGCCTATTACCTCTGTGCTCCATCACTGTCACTTCTTTCTGCCTTATGATTTCTGTCTCCTCCTGAGTTACCTTCTTATCCTTCTCACTTCTGGTGGTGGTCTTCCTTTCTAGACCTACAGCTTTCATCTGTATTCTAAAACCATCCTATCCCATACCTTACTTGACCTTAGCAATTATATATTTAAACTTAAAATCTCCAAATAACAACCTTTCCACTATTTCATCTCTACTTTGAAACAAGTGTTGGTCTCCCTATGTAGGGATTGGAGCAGAACAAAGTAAAAAACACTTCACTTGATCTCGTCTTCCTTTATTCAGAATGCTATTCTTCCTTCCTCTGACTAAATCCTAGCTGTTTCAAGGTGTATCTCAAATCCTCCCTTTTCTGTGAACTTCTAAACTGTGGTAATCTCCTTTAGCAGTCCTGTTTCTTATGACTTATTTGGTAAATAACCAAGCATTGTTCTGTTTTTGGTGGGTGGATGGGCAGAGTAACTTTATTTTGATGTAATTGCAAACTTAGAGAAAAGTTATAAGATTAGTATAAGGAATTCGGATTCATCAGTTGCTTTATATTTTGCCCCATTTGTTTTATCGTTGTTTCCATATACATGTTTATAGAGTCAAAATTATATTCAAATGTCATCGTATTTTCTCAACTATTTGAGAATTTATATGTCAGAATTTTTTTTCTCTTGAATAATTCCCCTTTTCAAATTATCCTTTTAGGTTTATATATTATAATAATAACTTGGTTGATGATTTTTTTTTGGAAGTTTTAGAAACTATAGCCCTTCAGTTTTTAAAAACAGGTTGTACTTATTCCTTTCAATATTAGAGTATGAATCACAAAACTTGAGTGGATCCAAAGAAGTTTATCAGTGTTGTACAAATAAGAATGATTTTCCTTTTCACAGTCCTGGAAGATACTGCTCTTTGGTGCCATAAACTTAACATGTACTGGCTTCCTGCTAATGTGGTGCAGCTCCACTAACAGTATAGGTATGTCACTGTTCTTATTTTTATAGAGTTAATTATTAATTTCACTTTTATTGTTCTCATTTTAAATAAAGGTATGTCTTCCTTAACATGGAATATATTATTCTGAAATATAACTTTAAAGATTTAAATGAGGGAATCTATTCCAAAAGTATCTTGTTATGTTCTGTTTTGGCCGTGTTGCTTGTCATGTGGGATGTTAATTTCCCAACCAGGGATTGATCCCCTGCTCCCTGCAGTGGCAGTGTGGAGTCTTAACCAGGACTGCCAGGGAAGTCCCCCAAAAGTACCTTGTAAACTATAAAATTTGGTTCAGTTGCTAGGAATTATTTAAAATGAGCTTCTTCAGAAAATTTAAATCTATTTGAAAAATGGAGATTTCTTTCTATTTTTTAATTGAGATGTAGTTGATTTATGTTATTATATTAGTTTCAGGTGTACAGCTTAATGATTCAGTATTTTTATAGATTACACTCCACTCAGAATCACTATAGGGACTTCCCTTGGTGAGGAAGCTATATATGAATACATTTGTTTGTTTTATTTCTTATATAAATAAAAAGTGATATATATAAGTGATATATAATATCACTTATATATATTATATTATATATATATATAATATATATAAGTGATACCGTATAGTATTTGTCTTTCTCTGACTTATTTCCCCAAGCAGAATATACTCTAGGGCTCATCCATGTTGCTGCAAATGGTAGAATTCATTCTTTTTTATGGATGAGTAGTATTCCGTCCACCGTATGTGTCTATTGATGGACACTTGGGTTGCTTCCATATCTTGGCTACTTTAAATACTGCTGCTGTGAGCACTGGGTGCATGTATCTTTTTGTGAGGTATTTTTAGTGTGATAGATTAGTTCTTCAATTTATGTAGTGTATAAATAAGATTTTGAGGTTTATTGAGTTTTCCTTAAAAAGTAAAACCTCTTAATATTTTTCTTGTGTTTTTAAAAACCTCTTATATTTTTATGTACCATTATTTGTTGTATTTCCTAACTATGGATTCAGTAACATTTTAATCAGTCTTTCTGTTGTTTTGCAGCTTTAACTGCCTATACTTACCTGACCATTTTTGATCTTTTTAGGTAAGTTTTAAAAACTCTCCTTAATGTTTTGAAGCTTATACAGAATTTGTCATCAACTATACTTCATTTAAAAAAAAAAAGAGACGTCTGGAAGACTTACCCATTGTTTTACTCCTGACCTTAATTCATGGTTACATGGGTGTTTCTTTTTTTCTATTTGTTAAAATGTACATATGTGCTTTATGCACATTTCTGTATAAATGTCCTATTTTGAATAAAACAATAAAAATAAGAGTTTATTGCACTGAATTTATGAAGTTTTCTTTAAGTAAAGGAAAGTAGTCTGTGAAATAAGTAAAATTATCAACATGGATCATGTATACAAATAAACACAATTAGAAGATATGCTGGAAGAAGATATCCCATTTACATAGCAACAGAAAAATACCCAGACATTAGGTCAGTTGCCTACCTATAGATGAGTCAGCTGTGACCAGGGAGCAGGAACATATAAAAGCATACCAGTTCCCACTGGAACTGTGTAAATGGGAAAAGAAATGAGGGATATTAATAACTACAAAGCATGTATGTGATTGTGAGATTGAGAGACAGCCTGTCGGCTCCTGCTTTTGGGGACCTTTCGTATTTCCTGTGTGTGTGTACGGACATGACCGAGCGACTCTTTGAGACCCCATGGACTGTAGCCTGCCAGGCTCCTCTGTCCATGGGGATTCTCCAGGCAAGAATACTGGAGTGGGTTGCCATACCCTCCTCCAAAGGATCTTCCCAACCCAGAGATCAAACCCAGGTCTCCCGCATCGTAGGCAGATTCTTTACCATCTGAGCCACCAGCCCCATGTTTCCAATAAAGATTGCAAAGTGCTTGGGCAATGATGTCTCCAGTGTCTGTGCCATAGGTGTGGTATAAGGATGTCTTTTCACAGTCACATAACTAAATCTTCTTGATGGATCTAAAACAGATAGTTGTTACCTGAATTTCACACTGTAGTAAATTGTTTTAGAGCGAATTTCCGCTATACTTGGAAAGCAGCCGTAACTCTGCCTCATCTAGAATATTGTCAAGGTCTTATTAATATTTAGTTTAACTTTTAACATAGATTAAACAAAGTTTATCAAAGTTGAAATGTTTACTCCTAGAATCAAGTAAATATTGTTACTGTGTTATTTTTTGCAGGCTTAGTTATGGAAACCATTTAGGTTGGATAACTTACTGAGTAGAGGAAGTATGAGTTTATTCTATTTAACTGTCTTAATGGTGTATCATAACTTCTTCTGTTTCTCCCCATGTTAAAACTCGCAGTTAAGAGTGTTTATTGTTATTAGATTATAAATTATTAGAATAATTTATTAGTCTGTGAACAGTTAACTTTTAGCAACTTAGGTATTATGAAAGCTAAATTTCTTTCTGTATGTCCTCTAGCTCTTGTTCTAATGCTGAATTTATTTGCCTTTTTACTTAGTTTGATAACTTGTTTAATAAGTTACTGGGTGATGATGAGGAAACCTAGCCCTGCGTATTCATTTGGGTAAGTTCAATTTACTTTATTTTCTGCTAACTTCTTGCTATTAAAATTAGTAGTTAAACTACTAAAGAGCTAGCTTGAATATTTCTAGAAAATAAGCATTGCCTGTTTAGTGTGATAGTAATAAATAGTAAAAGTAGATTTTAAAAAGCATCTTCTAAGAGGATTCTAGATAAGAAACATAGATGTTTAAATTTAAATCATATTGAAGTAAAATGTTCACATTAGGTTCTTTGCTATTTTACAAAACAAATCTTAACATAAAATGTTCATTTTAAGGTCTTTGATACTTTGGTAATTTTTTATTTCAGTTAGAGAAAGTGCAAAGGATTTTCATGTATGTATCTTCTAGATGTTAAAGTAAGTGGGATACATTTTCACATTAATGCAGTGGTAGAGATGTATTTTTATCATAAGACTAGATTTGTGACAGCAACAAACTGACAAAGATTTTGAGATTTCTGTGTCTCTAGTTTAGAAATTACTGAAAGCTGGAAAGTGATCTTTTATATCAGAGGATTTTTTTTTTTTAATATTTATTCATTTATTTAGCTGTGCCAAGTCTTAGTTGCAGTATGTGGGATCTAGTTCCCTGACCAGGGATCGAACTCAGGGCACCTGCATTGGGAGTGTGGAGTCTTAGCCACTGAACCACCAGGGAAGTCCTGGATTTTTTTATTATATTAGGAAAAGAAATGAATTCCCTTTAGATTTAAGGAAAGAACTAGAAAGAAAAATGTAACCTAGGTGAAGAAACTGTTGAACCAGACTTAACCTTTCTTTTCCATACCATTCATTGAGATCATATTCTTTTGAACAAAATCAGGTTTTATTTACTTAAATAATAGGACAGAGTGAACATGAAATTTTAATGCAAAATGAAGATATTTATGTGTCACTCAAATTTGATAGAGTTGGACTGTTACTATGATAATCATATGTAAAGAATAGATATCTGTATATGGAAATCTTAACTCTTGAGTCAGGCTTTTGGTGGTGACAGAAATCCAACTCAAACTAATTTGGGGGGAATATGATAATGTACTTTTTCTAAGTGTGGGAAGACCGAGATGAGCTGGCATAGGAACACTCAGGACATTGTCTTTCTCTCACCTCAGTGGCCTGCTTTTCTCTGCACGTCAGGTTCGGGTTCTCAGACCACTTTTCTCCACTCTGCTGGAATGATAACTTCTAGCAAGACTTGGAACCTTCTCACCTTCCTCCTAGAGAGGAAAGGACTCTTCCCCAGCTCTAGTTCCAAAAATCATGAGAAAGAGCTATTGGTTTGTCCACTTTGGTATAGATGTTAGTCTTTTTAGTTCAGCTCCTGTGGCCAGGATACAAGGTTTAATAAAGATATGACAGCTCCCATTTTGGTCTCATTGCTTAGAGAATAGGAAACGAGAAAGCAATTAAATATGATTACAGTCAGTTGCATACCTTGAAGTATCATCTATATCTGGTAATTCCAAAATTCAGTTCTGCAGCACTGAGATTTATCTCATGTCAGTGTTCCTTTCATGCCAACTTCACATGGATGCCTAATTGATGTCTTAAATTCAAGCTAAATTTCCTGTTTTGTTTTCTTGCCCCAAAATCTGTTCCTCTGCAGTTTTTCCCATCTTAGTAAATACACAGCCACTTTGTTACTCAGGCAAAATCCTCAATTATTCTCTCATCACCCACATTTATCCATCAGGGGATTATGTCAGGATAACTTACAAACACATCCAGAATCTGCCTCCGCCCCCATTTCTATCTCTAGTACTACCATCCTAACCAAGCTACCTTCATTTCTTGCCTTCATCAACATCCTGCATCCTAATCCTAACTAGTCCGCATACTTCTGCTTTTACCAACCCTTGTAGTCCATTCTCTGTGTAGCAACCAATGTTTTTTTTTTTTTTAAGCCTAAGTCATGCTATCATTCTACTCCTTAAAACCATCCAGTTGTTTCCTATCATATTGAGAATAAAATCCTGACTCCTTTCCCTTGCTTATAAAGGCTTTGTATGACTTAGACCCAGCCAATTTCTTTTCAAGTTACCACTGTCATGCCCTCTGTCTTTGTGTCTATAATTTGAATATAACTTATTCTTGCTTTAGGATCTTTATACAGACTATTCTCTCTCCTTGAGTTGCTCTTCACCTGTTTCTTTCAAGATAAGCCCAGTTTTGTTATTCCAGTCTTAATATTAACCAAGTGCTAATATCGTTAAGTGACTGGCCCAATCTAAAATGAATTCTAAAATAGATTTCCTAGTTAGTCTCTTGTCACATCAGACTGGACTTCCCTCGTGGCTCAGACGGTAAAGATTCTGCCTGCAATGCAGGAGACCCAGGTTCAGTCCCTAGGGTGGGAAGATCCCCTAGAAAAGGGAAAATGGCAACCCACTCCCAGTCTTCTTGCCTGGAGAATTCCATGGACAGAGGAGCCTGGAAGGCTGCAGCCCAGTCCATGGGGTTGCAAACAGTCAGACATGACTGAGTGACTAACACTACACATCAGACTACTATAATTCTCTGTATAGAACTTATAAGTTATTTGGTTTTTTGTCTTCCCCTTTAAAATATAAATTTCTTGGTAGCTTGGACTGTTATCTTATTCTTTTCTTATATCCTTGTACAGTTTGATGAATTTTAACAGATAAATACACTTGTATAACTACTATCTGAATCATGATATAAACCATTATAAGTTCCCCCAAACCCTCCATTAATGACTTAAGGTTGAGTCAGAGTCAAACGCTGACGAAAGTAACCAGTATTCTGATTGCTGTCATTGCAGATTATTGTTGCCAGTTTTGAAATCATATAAATGAGATTGTAATATGTATCATCATATAGCAGTAATTCATTCTTGTTCTTTGCTCTAATATTCCAATATGCCAACATACATGTATATGTTCAACTATTGAAAGAAATTTAGGTAATTTTTAGCTTTTTGTTATTATGAGTAAAACTACATATGCTCATTTTGTACTTTTCTTTTGGTATACATGTGTGCTCATTTATGTTGGGCATATGTCTTTGAATGAAATTACTGTCATAGGACTTGCATATATTCATCATTAGAAGATAGGATAATACCAAGCAGTTTTCCAGAGTGGTTTTGCATTTCTACTGGCAGTATACATTTCCACTGGCAGTATATCTGAGTTCTAGTTGCTTCATGTCCTTACCAACTGTTGGTATTGCCTATTTTTAAAAAGCCATTCTAGGATGTGCAGTGGTATCTCATTGTAGGCTTAAGTTATTTTCTTGATGAGTATTTGAACACTTTTTCTTTTATTTATTAGCCATTCAGATTACCTCTTTGCTGAAATGCTTGTTAAAGTGTTTTATCCATTTTTAGGCTGGGTTGCTTATTTTTTCTTATTGATCCATAGGAGTTCTTTCTCTTTCATTCTCTTAAAGCTATCTTCTGATGCATGAAAAGTTTTAAATTTCAATGATCAATCCAGTTTATCAGTTTTTTCCTTTATGGTTAATACTTTTTGTGTACTTGTCAAGAAATCTTAGCCCAAGATCATGAGATAATCTTCCCTGTCATTAGAAATTTTACAATTTGAACTTTCACATATAGGCTTAAAAATCAAACTAGAATTTGGTTTTTGTATATGGTTTGAAGTAGAGGTCAAGGCACATTGGTTTCTATACAGCTCTTCAATTTGATAAAACATTAATTGAATCAAGTTTTTTCCTTTTAATTGCTTTTATGTGCTACTTTTTAATTAATCAAGTAACCATGTATATGTTGGTCTGTGTCTGGATTTTCCTTTCTCTTCAAGGTGTATTTGTCTTTGCATTAGTTCCATCCTGTGTTAATTACTGTAGTTTGAAATCTTGTAGTGGAATACGGTAGTGGAAACCTTCCTACTTTGTTCTTTAGACCTTTGCTTTCCTTCACCTTTTATTTCCATGTGTGCACTTTAGTGTCAGCTTATCAGTATCTACAGGTAACGTTGCTGCCCTTACATAGTTTTTCATACTCTCCTATAACCCTCTTTTTTTCATTTACTTCCTTTCATGTCAGTAAATACATTTGTTATATTTTTAGTAATACATAATGGTCTTTTGTTGATTCCAACATTTTTTTATTACCAATAACAATGTGATGTATTGGTAATTAATTAATTAATTTAAAATAATCCTTAATTATTTTATTATTTCCTGAATTTTGTACCTCCTGTAATTAAACCAGCTGATTTGAGGAGAAAAAAGTAATGTGATGAGCATCCTTAATTATTTATTATCTTTTCTGAACATAATTATTTCCTTGAGAAATTTTAGTGTATGTACATGCTACAAGTGTTGAATGCCATTAAACTATGTATAGTGGTAAAAACCAAGATAAGTAAGACAGCAGTCTATGGCCTCTAGCTGATAGTTTAGGGATAATAAGACATATTCAATTAACTGCAATTATATGTAGATGTGACAGGCAGTATCAGTTCAGTTCAGTCGCTCAGTCATGTCTGACTCTTTGCGACCCCATGAACCACAGCACGCCAGGCCTCCCTGTCCATCACCAACTCCTGGAGTTTACTCAAACCCATGTCAATTGAGTCAGTGATGCCATCCAACCATCTCATCCTCCATTGTCCACTTTTCCTCCTGCCTTCAATCTTTCCCAGCATCAGGGTCTTTTCTAAGGAGTCAGCTCTTGGCATCAGGTGGCCAAAGTATTGGAGTTTCAGCTTCAACATCAGTCCTTCCAGTGAACACCCAGAACTGATCTCCTTTGGGATGGACTGGTTGCATCTCCTTGCAGTCCAAGGGACTCTCAAGAGTCTTCTCCACCACCACAGTTTCAAAGCATCAATTCTTTGGCGCTCAGCTTTCTTTATAGTCCAATGGCCACTGGAAAAACCATAGTCTTGACTAGACGGACCTTTGTTGGCAAAGTAATGTCTCTGCTTTTTAATATGCTGTCTAGGTTGGTCATAACTTTCCTTCCAAGGAGCAAGCGTCTTTTAATTTCATGGCTGCAATCACCATCTGTAGTGATTTTGGAGCACAGAAAAATAAAGTCTGCCACTGTTTCCACTGTTTCCCCATCTATTTGCCATGAAGTGATGGGACCGGATGCCATGATCTTAGTTTTCTGAATGTTTAGCTTTAAGCCAACTTTTTCACTCTCCTCTTTATAATAGTGGTTAAAGTCATGAACGCTAGAGCCAGAGTGTCTGAGTTTGAAAATCTCTGACTCTTCCACTTGCTAGCTATATGACTCTAAACAGCTACTCTTCCTCTTGGGCTTCAAGTTCTTTATCTCTTACTTATTTTTTTTTTAAGTGGATAGACTAACCCTCATAAGGATTTAGATAAGGTAATGTGTTAAGTACTTTGACTGGTATCTAACATAAGATGGGTCAATAAGTGTTAGCTGTTATTATGATAATGAATATTTCTAGAGAATAAAAGCCATAGAGAATATATGTTGTATAAATAGGCACTCTTTCTAAAATCTAAGATATTCACTGTTTATTATTATTCTAGAAACTAGACTTTTTAAACAGTGTTTGGCTTATAGTACTTAGAATTGTAGTGAGTGAGTGAATGTGTTTTAGAGATGCTGGTTTGTGAATTGAAAAAATTATGTTAATTTAATTAATTTTCCAATTTCAGATTTGAAAGATTAGAAGTCTTGGCTGTATTTGCCTCCACAGTCTTGGCACAGTTGGGAGCTCTCTTTATTTTAAAAGAAAGGTACATTTGTATACAATGTTACTGTCACTGCAAATTCTACCTATGCTACCTTTGGAATTATGAAAGAATCCAGTGAGACATTCTGGTTAAAAGGGTATACAAATTAATATGAGCAATGTTGGAGATTTCAAAATACAGTTTTTTCATGTTTCAGACTTTTCTCCCTCTTTATACCCTTCTTTTATTACCTTTGATACAACTAAATCCAGTCATAAGTAGATGTGACTAAAAGGAAGGGATTCAGTCAAACATGTTTTAATGCTTAGTATAAACCCAAAAGCAGGTTTGTTAGAGAAAGATTAGACATTGCACCTTGAGGATAATTTGTGGTCTGCTTGTCTTATCACTGCTTCTGCTGCTGCCGCTAAGTCACTTCAACTAGTAATCAACAGGTCATATTTAAAAGTTTTGTGAATTTATTAGATTAATTATGTATTTAATAAACTTTTTAAACTTGATTCTTTAATACATTAACATTATTTCTTTTAGCGCAGAACGCTTTTTGGAGCAGCCCGAGATACACACGTAAGATTCTGCTTCTGACATATAATATACTATTAAGTTTGATTCCCAGTGATTAATTGGTATATTATGAAAGAGTGATTACTTTGGCCCATACTAGAGTTCAGAGTGTCGTAATATATATTTCACAAGCAAACTCCCCAAATCCCAAGACTCCTTCTTTTCACCCTTAACTGTTCCCAAGCCCCTACGTTTTTATACTGAACAGAAAGGCCTCTCCACTGTGATGTCGGGTCCCTCAGTATTTCCAAACCCAGGTGAACATGCTAAACCAGCCCTGTCTTGTCTTCTATAATTTGGATCCCTCCAGTCTTTTAGTACCATCTCTAGAAAAGATGGAAATGTTATTACCTATAACATAGTTGCTAACTCTGTGGACCTATTCTGATCAGTTTCATTCAGGGCAGTTTGACTTAACCAGCAGACTATAAACCAAATATCTGTAGCATTTCTAAAAATTTATAACAGCAATTACCTGTAAGAAGATACTGTTAATGCTAAGGGTCTTTTTTGGAGGGATGGGGATCCCATGTAAGATGGAGCAACCACATGCAGAACATGGGTCATGGAGCTAGAAACCAAGTTCAAATTCTGAATCTGCAAATACTGAAGCAGACCACTCTGCTTCCTTATCTCCTAGTCTCACTACATGCTGAAATTACATACTAATATTACCAAGAAAAAAATAACAGTGTTATTCTTTTTAGGGGAAGATTATTAGTTGGTACTTTTGTGGCTCTTTCATTCAACTTGTTCACAATGCTTTCAATTCGGAATAAACCTTTTGCTTATGTTTCTGAAGGTATGTTTTTGTTTACTATTAATAAAAATCCAATTAATTTCTCATAACAACAAGTCTTTTGTTTGTTTCATTGGTTCATAAATCAGTGAGAAAGTGTATCCTGAGGAAAAGAAAGGACTACCTACCCCTAAAGTTCTAAAGTCTTCAGAAAATTAAGAAGCAGAAAATTAAGAAATAGAATCTAACTTTTTAAGCTTTAAAATAACATATTCCTTAAAAACAAGCAGAACTGACATATTAAATTACATGAGATAAAAAATTATATTTACCAGATAACATGAATCAAATTTTAAGTGTGTAAACTACCTAAGAACGCATTTTAGAAGCACCAGTGTACATAGACTAGTTGATGTGCTCATTGCAAATAATTGTATTTTGTTAATTAACTTCGTTCCCAGGAACACTCTGGGATGATGATGGGTGGGCATTTATTTGAAAGTAGCCAAATTTTAGTCCTTTTAACAAATTCTTTTCCTTTTGAGTCTTTAAAGTTCAGATAGAATTTTTCATTTTAGTGGTCTGAATTACTGACATTTTTCACTAATTTCAGTGTTTTGGAATCCTACTCCCCCACACCAGGTTAACCACTGTTGGATGGCTGGAGGAGTTTTACCTCACTTTACACTGAGGTAAAAACAAAAGTGGGCTGTGTACACACACCTACACTTTGAAGAAAAAATAGGGGAAGGTCTTTTTAAGTCTCACTGACTTGACTAGCAAGATAACCAGGGGAAGAAAGCTTTCTGAAATACCCATTCAAGCTTAAACAACTTCCTAAGTGTCATGAAGTATGAGTTGTATTTTATAAATTAGAGTTTAAGAATTACTGCATAAACTAGAAAATTAGATAATGATATTTATGATCATCAGAATTATTTTGAAAAAACTTTATTAAAATACTATTATACTCATTCTTGAAATTTTAAGATGGTACAAAGATTTAGAAACTATGTTTCCCTGAAGAGCAGAAAGATACAAGAAGGAAACAGTACTGGTAATCTCATGAGCCAGAGATAACGTCTATTAACATGTCTGTTTTGTTCCTTTATTTTTTTTTCTGTACACATATGTATATTTTTTTACATACTTAGAATTATATCAGTTAAAAATTTTATGTTTGGCTTTTTTCACTCAACTTTTCATCTTGAATATTGCCTGTCATTAAATAATCTTTGAAAAATAATTTTTGAATGCTTGCATAACATTTTGTCATGAATATTTTAAAAAATTAGTCTACTGTACATTTTCAACTTTTCCTTTTAGCTGTAACCACCTTTTTTCTATCAAATTTCTTGTATGCATTTCTAATCTTCTCAGAGGAAAAATTATAAATGGGTTAAAGATACAGTATTTGTTTGTTTGATATATACTGCCAGGTTTGTTTCCAGAAAAATCATCTAGTTTGTATTTTTATTAGCTGGAAATGAAAGTTTGCAGAAACATCAAGATTTGCAACATGAGTTGAAATTTGAGTGAAAAGTAGTTTAAAGCACTTTCTGCCAGGCACTGTGCTCAATATTTATACAGAACCCATTTAATTCCTCGTATAACCATATAAGGTAAATCATTGTACTCTCCTCACTTTACACTGAGGCACTGGGAGATTTAGTCACTTGTCTCAGTCTATGTATCTAGTCAAGGGCAGGGTTGAGGTTGAAGCCAGGTATTCTGGCATCAGAGTCTGCTTTAACTGCTGTTCTGGGCCACTTTTTATATGGCTTGCCAATCTTTTCTACATCATGGTGCATATAAATGAGAATTTCTGTAGCACCCTGGGGTAAATGGAAGAGTATGCTTGCAGCTGGAGGCTACATGTCCAGGGTCAGTCACTGACTGGCATCTGCATGTAGCCATACCTGGCCTCTCTGAGAGCTAAGAGAGTTAGTAATTGGTGAACCTGCAACTCATTCTCAACACACTGTTTAGGAAGCTTTGCTTTGCAGTATAGTAAGCCTTTAAAGCTTCAAATTAATAGTAACGATGACATATGTAAGTTCATTGATTCCATCAGATCATCTATGTACTGAAGTTGAAACTACATTTCATTTAGTATCCTAAAGGCATAAAAAAGAAAAAAGTTCTAGATATAATGTATCCCTTTGTAGTGTTACATAGTCATCATGAAATTTATTTTTTAAATTTAAGAATCAAGTATTTCTGGTAATCTAATTGTTTCTGGTAATTTTAATAATCTAAGTATTTTCTTCTTAAAGCTGCTAGTACGAGTTGGCTTCAAGAGCATGTTGCAGATCTTAGTCGGAGGTGAGATGTTTGGGGTTTCATAAAATACATATTGTTAAAGGAATGCACAGGAAGCACATCTATTATGGGAACTTAACATTATTCATTGGCAAGGTTACTAAATGAATCTCACAGATCAGATTCTTCTTTTTCCTTCACTTTTTCTTATTTTTTAATTGACAATACAAAAGAGAACTTTACAAGTGAGAGATTTGTTCCCAAATCCTCTTTGTTAAATGATTTATGATACTAAAATACAAGTCATCTTTTATGCAGTTTTCATTATTATTACATAAGTTTTGCTAATGAATACTCTTTTTGTTTTTTCTTAGCGTGTGTGGAATTATTCCAGGACTTAGCAGTATCTTCCTTCCCCGAATGAATCCATTTGTTTTGATTGATCTTGCTGGAGCATTTGCTCTTTGTATTACTTATATGCTAATTGAAATTAAGTAAGTATTTTTTATTGCTCTCATATGTATTTCTGTTACTGGGACCTGATTTTTAAGAGCATCAGGATGCATGATGACTAAGTTTATAGCATGTTTATGACCTGTGCTACTTTGGTCAAGTCTTGTCCTCAAGTGTCTTCATCTGAAAAATTAAGGGTGTTGGATTCAATAAGAAATCTTCCCTACAATCTATAATGCAGATGGGAAAGCTATTTAAATTCCCTTCTGCTGGCCAGATGAGTGAAACAGAGAAGAGGAGAGTAAGAGACACATCAATCACAACTACTGTTGCTGAATGAGGAAAGAGGAGTAGATGTGAACCGATTTTTTTTAAAAAGCAAGCCTATTAAGAAATAGTCTTTAGCAAGCTTAAGTTTAATGCTATGACATTATTCTTTGACTCCCTACCCTTTTGCCTTTTTGTACCTTTGTGTGATTCCTTCACTTTATTTCTAGCCCAGATCTCTATTGAATTCCAAAAAGCAATCTTCTGTCATGTCCACCTTGACTGAACCTGTTTTCCCCATCCCCTAAACTGCTTTTATCTGTATTTCCTGTGAGAGTGAATGCTACTACCATTCACTTGCTACTATGCATTCTACTTTTTTTTTTTTTTTTGCTCGTTTCAATTTTACTTATTTATGTGTGGCTGCACTGGGTCTTTATTGCTTCGTAGGCTTTTCTCTGGTTGTGGTGAGCAGGGCCTGGTTGTGGTGCTCAGGCCTCTCATTGCAGTGGCATATCTTGTTGTGGCGCATGGGCTCTAGGGTGCACGGGCTTCAGTAGTTGCGGCTCATAGGCTCAGCAGTTGCGGTGCATGGTCTTAGTTCTTCTGCAGCATGTGGGATCACCCTGGATCAGGGGTCAAACCCCTGTCTCCTGCATCGCAGACAGATTCTTTACCCCTGAACCACCAGGGAAGCCTTGCTTTCCACTTTTAAATTGTACAAAAAAAATACATAAAATAAGATTTACCATTTTAGCCATTTTCAAACATACAGTTTAGTATTTTCACAGGCATTTGGTACATTCACTTTATTGTACAACCATCATCATGATTCATCTACGGAACTTTTTTATCTTCCCCAGCTGAACCTGTACCCATTAAATAACTTTGACCCATTCAGCCTCCTTCCAGCCCCTGGCAACCACTATTACACTTTCTGTGGCTATGAAGTATTCTGAGTATTTGATTTAAATGAAATAATATGTATTTGTCCTTCTGTATCTGTTTTATTTTACCTAGCATAATGTCATCAAGGTCCATTCATGTCAGAAATGGCAGGATTTCCTCTTAGGACTGAATAATATTCCATTAGTGTACATATTTATGTATGTGTGTGTGTGTGTGTGTGTGTGTATATATATATATATATATATATATATATATATATATATATATATATATATATGCCACATGGGGCGTACCTGATAGCTCAGTTGGTAAAGAATCCACCTGCAATGCAGGAGACCCCAGTTTAATTTCTGGATTGGGAAGATGTGCTGGAGAAGGGATAGGCTACCCACTCCATTATTCTTGTGGCTCAGCTGGTAAAGAATCCACCTGCAGTGCAGGAGACCTGGGTTCGATCCCTGGAGAAGGGAAAGGCTACCCACTCCGGTATTCTGGCCTGGAGAATTACATGGACTATATAGTCCTTGGGGTCGCAGAGAGTCAGACATGACCGAGCGACTTGCACTTTCACTTTCTATGTGCCACATTTTTACTTTATCCATTTGTCTGTCAACAAGCATGTAGGTTGTTTCCATGTCTTGGCTGTTGTAAATGATAGTCTTGTCTCCTACTCTTGTTTAATCTTTCCTTTTAATTTTTATCTTTCCCTTCTTCCCATTCTGTTCCCTAAATTGAGGCCTTTATCATCATTTCCTTGACCTAATTAGAATAGTCTTCTGATCTCAAAATTTTTCTTCTCACACATCTTTAGTTACCTGCTATTTTGCTACTGAAGTGATCGTTAAAAGTTGCAAATCTAGACATAATATTTTCCTGTTTCAGAATCCTCTCCTTTATATACTTAACAAAATTAAAAGTTGTTAGTATGATGAAGCCTCTACCAACCTTACTAGCCATCCATCTGCCTATACTTAACTGTTCATAGTTTCTTCACTGCATTAGGGCTTTCATGCCCTTGCACATTCTGCTTTCACTGTCTACAGTATCTTGCCCCCATCATCGTGGCCATCTTTGCAGTCCCAGATCAGATGTCCCCTCTTTTTTACTCAGCCTTCCTGGATTATCCTACCCCTGTAGGCTCAGCTCTCCTCTCTGCAGCCAGGAGACCCTGCAGGGCTTCTCCTTTGTACTCAAAGTCACTTCTTGTCTTTTTCACATGGGTGTTTCCTTCTATTTCAAGGGCAGGAACTATGTCTTTACTAGTGTTTCTATTCCCAGCTTATAGGAAAAAATGAAAAAGAGTACATGATGAGCTTGTAACTTTCGGCATTTTTGGTCTCTCTTGTTAACAGACCTGTGAACTACTGATGAGCTATTGTACTTCAGCCACAGTGTTTACTGTAACAAATTCTTAAGAATCTCATCTTATGAAATTCCTGGGGAATTTGAAATTTTTTATTACTAATTATTGGAAAGTTACTGTTTACAGCAAATTGATAGAATTACAGATGAATTCCATTGGTCTTTATCAGAAATTATTAGTTAAAAAAAATTACTAGTTAAAGGTTTTTATTTGTTGCAGCAAATAAATATATATGACATATTTGCACTTGACAAGTAGATTACTTTTGTACTTTGTACATTGTGGGGAAATGTATATTTTTCTTCATCATCTCTCTTCACACTAATTAATGTAATTATTAGTTATTTTCCCTTAAACTTTGGCAAGAGAGGATTCTGAAAGCTTTCTTTTTTCCTTTGAGATGCTCTCATTGCAGTAGTGGTCAGCTGTGGTAAAATAGTCCTGTTGCTTGAGATAATTAAAGGTTGGTGGATTAAATTGTAAGAAGCCTAGTGAAGGATACATTTAAGATTTAGAATTATTTTTTCTTTTTAGTAATTATTTTTCTGTAGACACTGCGTCAGCCATTGCCATTGCTCTGATGACGTTTGGCACCATGTATCCCATGAGCGTGTACAGTGGGAAAGTATTACTCCAGGTAATGGTCGTCTTTCAGTATGCATGCTTAAAATTAGCTATGTTCTTTTACCAGATTATAAAAATAAATGTGTTCTTCTGCCAGATTATGAAATTTTTACATACTGGAGGGTCCTGTTGGAGATGAAGCCAAACAATAACCTCTGAAATTTGTGTAGTAAGAACCAGATGAAATTATATTGGTGTACAAAATAGACACAAATGAGTCTTCATATATTTATATATAAGACAAGAGCATAAATGAGAAACATCTCTAATAATATTTCAAGTAAAAACAATATTAGTTATAATCTCTTTAGATACTTATTTTCCCCTCATAAATGTATTTTGGCTATTATATAATCCAGTTATGATTGTTTTCTTATTTCCTGTCCTTGAATTAGTGAGACTTCTAAATTTCAAACTTAAAAACAAGAAATCACTCCTTACTGAAACAGTAGGAACACCTGTAGACAGCACCTGACTAGAAAGATGGTTTCCCAGGACAGGTGAATATATAGGCAGTGCTTCTCCCTACGCCTTTTCCACATGTCTTTCCTAAAACATATGGGTTGTATCTCCCTCTCCAGAAGCAACAATAACAATAAAATATTAGTTTACTAATGCTATGTCTTAGTTTTACTTTCTTAAAGATTTTTTTGTTGATTTGTTGGTTCTTTAAGGCTTATTTGGTTACAGAAATAGCAGCTTCTTTGTAAGATAAGAAATAAGCCTGGGTGGATTCCTGATGTTGCTTTATAAGTGAGTCAGTTGAAACCTCTTTTTCCTAAACCATGTGAAGGCACTTGTGAAACAAAGCCCAGGCTGGTATAAAATGCATGTTGTTGTTTTTTTTACTGTCAGGATCACTGTTGCAAAATTTTTTTATCTCTCTAGATTCATGTTCTATTTTATTTTTTTTCCCCCCAGACAACACCACCCCATGTTATTGGTCAGTTGGACAAACTTATCAGAGAGGTAAGATGAAATAAATAAAATCATTTTAATTTATGATTAGAGAATTCAAAGAGTGGGTACAAATAATTTCAAGCTCTTTTTAGAATTTTAGGGAAGTTTATGTAACATAGTGACAAAAATAGAGAAATTTGACTACTTGCTCAGTCTGGAAGCCAGGTTCACTTGAAATAAATGTAGGAGGTAATTGTCTAAAGACCACACTGTTTGTCATAAAGAGCTGTGAATTGTATGAAAGTGAAGTAGCTCAGTCATGTCCAACTCTTTGTGACCCCATGGACTGTAGCCTACCACGCTCCTCTGTCCATGGGATTTTCTAGGCAAGAGTACTGGAGTGGGTTCCCATTTCCTTCTCCAGAGGATCTTCCCGACCCATGGATCAAACTCAGATCTCCTGCATTGTAGGCAGATGCTTTACCATCTGAACCACCAGGGAAGCCTGAATTGTATGAGTCTATATTCAAACCTGGGCTTCCCGGGTGACTCAGTGGTAAAGAATCCAATTGCCAATGCAGGAGACACAGGAGATGCAGCTTTGATCCCTGGGTTGGGAAGATCTCCTGGAGGAGGAAATGGCAACCCACTCCATTCTTGCTGGGGAAATTCCATTGACAGAGGAGGCTATAGTCCATGGGGTCATAAAGAGTCGGACAAGACTGAGCACGCACACACACAAAGCATATTCACACTTAGGATTTTGATTAAGTCAGAGGCCATGTTTACATGGTGATTGCTTCACTACATAGTAAGTTTTGATTCTGTATTGTTATAAAATTCCACCTGTTAACTAATGAAGGAATAAGATAATCAAATTATTAGGATGTTGAGAGTAACTAAAACCGTTGGTTGTCACTATCACAGAGGCCACTTTGATCAATATAGTTGACCACTTGTCTCAGCTACTCAGTCTGTGCCACTGTACCAATGGGCTACACACTATCCTTGAAATTTCCTTTTGGCTCAAATCCAGATAACATCCTGTGTTGTACAGAAATGTGTTGAAAGAGAATCCAGAGGAAAAAATGATTGAGAAGACAACAATTCTGATACTCAAGTACTAGATATAAACATATACTATATTAATAAAATGAAAAGAACTACACACTGTTGAACAAGGTGTGGGTGAGGAAAGTAAAGACCTACTTCTAGAGAGATTGGTGCAGATAAGAAACTGGGAAAAGAGAAAAAGACCCTGGCTCAGTATGGAGCAAGAAGAAGTGATATCTTGAGTGAATGGTCTGGCACTTCTTTTGGCTAATGAGTGTCTTTATGCAGGGTTTGACCATGTCATTCCTAGGTGCAGAGCAAGTCCATTTGACTGAGTTGTTTTGGATATGTCAAATACAAAAACCTTATTTCTATGTTTTTGATTAGGTATCTACCTTGGATGGAGTTTTGGAAGTCCGAAATGAGCATTTTTGGACCCTAGGTTTTGGCTCATTGGTATGCTTTCTATGTATTACTTTAGTTATATTTTAAAACATAGTTTATAATTTTTAGTCTCTTTACCAGCTCCCTCATGGCTCAGCTGGTAAAGAATCTGCCTGCAATGTGGGAGACCTGGGTTCGATCCCTGGGTTGGGAAGATCCCCTGAAGAAGAGAAAGGCTACCCACTCCGGTATTTTGGCCTGGAGAATTCCATGGACTATATATATTACTTTAGTTATAATTTAAAACATAGTTTATAATTTTTAAAACTGAAAAAAGTGTTTCTTTAAAATTTTTATAGATCCTTTGATCTATAAATGATCTTTGATCTAGAAATGATCCCATTTCTGTTCAATAGAGTAAAATATGTAGATGGATTCAGTAACCTAATTGAGATTAATTAAGGGATGTTTTTCATCATTTTTTTCCTTTGAAATTAAATGATCTTAATACTGGGCTGTTCAAAAGAGAAAAATCCATAGTCAGGCATTCCTAAATATGAAAATGTTGCAAAACTAAAATGTGCAATTACTTTCTTTTTTATTGCAGTTCTGATTTTGGAGATTTTTGCTGAATATATTAAAGAGTTATAGCTGCTTCAGCATAAAATTCCATCTTTTCTAATCCACTTTTGACCTCATTACCAGAGATTTTGTTATGGCATGCTTTTAATCCTATGTCAAGAAAGTACCCAGAAAAAAAAAGTGAAACACCCATAATCCTATCATACGAAGAAAACTGCCATTTATTTTTTGGTGTTAATACTTACATACTTAAACTCTTTAGAAAATGAGGTCATGCTGTTTTATAATTTGTTCTTTTCACTTAATACAGTTCTCCTTGTTATTGAATGTTACTCTTCTACAGTACGAGTATAAAAAAAATAGGATTTGACTTTTGTAACATAGATTTTAGAGGCAGATTAGGGTTGGTCCAACAGCTCAATGATATCACTACATTGCAGTCTATAGTTCAGACTTACACTCTTTTAGTGGAAAAATGGTTACTTCATCTCTCCCTTCCCCTTCTCTTCCCCTCTCTCACTCATTATTTTGGATATCTAAAACTCATTCTCTAGTAAATTCTTCAGGAAAAAGGCCCTTGCAAACAATATTCCCTGAATTTTTGCATGTTGAAACAGTTGTGAACATTATTGAAAATCATTTGGCTGGATGTAGTAACATCCTGAGCAGATACTTTATTTTCTTGACTTTCTTACCTCTGGCATAAGGCATTACTGTGATAAGCCCTGATGACTCATAGTCTGATTTTTTTCCCCTTGATATGTAGCTTGATCTTTTTACCTGTATGCCTAAAATATTTTTTTAAGTCCAGTAATTTTACTAGAATGTGTCTTGGTGTTGATGGTCAGTTATCTCAGGGATGTGGTATACCTTTCTTTAATATTATTTCAAAAACAGTTCTTTAGAATTTTCAGGAAAGTTTTCTTTAATTAAAGTTCTTAATATTCTCTTCTCTTGCTTTGATTTTCTTCTTTGGAAATGCCTATGATAAGCATGGTGGAGCTTTACCTTTCTTTCATATTTGTTATTTTCTTTCAGTTACTTGTTAACTCAATTTCCTTTGATTTTTAAAACTTCTCTTTTTATCTTTTTTTTTTTTCCATAATATACCTGTATGTTTATTGCTTTTCTAGCTTAATCTTTGTTTCAGAAATTAGGGGAGTGGGCATGCTGCACGACTTGCCAGATCTTAGTTTCCTGACCAGAGATCGAACCCACGCCCACAGCAGTGAAAGGGCCAAGTCCTAACCACTGGACCGCTAGGGAATTCCCTAAAAAAAAATTTTTTTTCATGTATTTCTAATTGCCACTCCATTTCTAGTTTCTTTATTTTGATTTATATTCTTCTTAATCAATTCAAAAATTGATTTGAAAAAGAAAGTCATAGTTCTCATCAGTTTTGTAGGTAAAGCTTTCCGATCTTTTATAATCTATTCTGTATTCTCCTTTTTTCTTATAATAACTATGTGTGGGATTTGGATTCAGTTCTTTTGCGCTTTTTTATGTGAAATTCATTTCCCTGAATTTTAAAATAAAAAATGGTTTAAGGTAGTGTGTCTAAATCATGGTTCTAGAGCTCCCTCTTCTGATGAGTCTGTGAAATGAAAGTTTTTTTTTGTTCTGGTTCCTTCTTTAGCCTCTGTTTCTACTCTGCTGCTCAATTTAGATTCTCTTCCCAACTGTTTCTTCTTAATGTGGAAGAGAGCTTTGCTTGGTTACCTTTGAGAGCTCACAGGGTCATACTACTCCAGTTCTTCATCTCTTATTGCAGACCCAGTTTATTTACCTGGTATTGAAATGTGCGAAACACCTTCCAGTTCCCAGCTGCCTTTCTCAAATTCACTGTCCTAGATTTCCATGAAGAGCTCGTTACCTATTGTGAGGTTTTTAGGTCAATCAGATGCCCTATTGTATCCCTCCTCCACAGATGCTGATACCTTAGAGGTCTTACAGTTTGTATTTGGGTTTTCTTAGGGTGTTGTGTTATCTCTCATTTTTTTGGGGGGGGAGTAGGTGTTGTCCATAGGTTTTTGAATGTGTTATCTTAGTTTCTGTTTTTATGGGAATATTTGGGGCATTTCAAAAAATGCTACCAATACTTCTGTCTTTCAAGAATCCTAGCATAATTCAAAATGACTGCAGAATTTTACAATATATGAATATACCATTTTTTATTTTATCAGTCCTCTAATATATAAGTTGGTTTTTTTTTTCTTAGCTGTGCTGTACGGCATACAGGATCTTAGCTCCCGAACCAGGGATCAAACCCATACCCAATGCAGTAGAAGCATAGAGTGTTAACCACTGGAGCACAGGGGAAGTCCCCCAAGGACATTTTTTAATTGGGGATGGGGGGGGGTTTGTTGTTGAGTTGAATGAATTCTTTTATGTCTTCATCAGACATACTGTTTGCAAATATCTTCTCCCATTCAGTAGCCTGCCTTTGATGGTTTCCTTCACTGCAAAAGCTTTTTAGTTTGATGAGGTCTCATTTGCTTATTTTTGCTTCTGTGGCCCTTCCCTGAGGAGACAGATCAAAAAAATATTGCAAAGACTGATGTCAGGGAGCTTATTACTGCTTGTGTTTTCTTAAGTTTACTCGTGTACATGGTATGGGAAAATGTTCTAGTTTTGTTCTTTTGCATGTAGCTATCCAGCTTTCCCAGTACCACTTGTTGAAGGAGCTGTCTCTTCCCCTTTGTATTTTCTGCCTCCTTCATTGTAGACTAGTTGACCTTATGTGTATGGATCTATTTCTGGGTTCTCTGTTCTGTTCCATTGATCTGTGTGTCTGGTTTGTGCCAGTACTGTGCTATTTTGATACTATAATTTTTGTAGTATAGTTTTGTCAGGAGAGTGTGTAATTTCCTCTGTTCTGTCTCACCACAGCAAAAATTTGAAGCAGTGAACCAGTGTTACAGCTCAGTTACAGCTCAGTTTTATCTGGCAAGCAAAGGAAAATACATCCTTGAGGTGGGAGGATGGGCCAACTCAAAAGAAGAGAGGGTCTCAGTTTTGGCTCCTTTTTTATAATCTTCTTTCTCCTCCCCCTGAACCTGCCCTATGTAAACTGGGCTAGCCAGGAGGGCTATTTGTTTCACCTGAGGTTCTCACTCTGGTCCTTGGACCTTCCCTTGTTCTATTTTTGTGGGCTTTTTCCTTTCTTTGTCTTTTAGCCACCACTATTTTGGACTCCTTTTTCCTATTCTAGCTACCTAACATTGCCCCAAGAGATGGGAGGCCCAGTTCTTTGGGAATAGGGGCATCAAGGTCTCTTTGGCTTCTTCCTGCTGAGCTGGGATGGTGAGGGTCATTGGGCCTCCCCCTCTGGCTAGTCTCAAGTCTCAGTGTCCTTATAGCAGTATCCATCTAAGGGTGAGTGATGTTTTCCATGCTCAGGTGTAGTTTTATATATCCTTGTTGAACTGGCACCGCATGTTATAGGTTATTGACCTGGGCAGAGACAAAATGGGTTAGACAATTGATAATACAGGGAGCAATCATGAGCAGCATCAATATGGTGATAATAGGGATTAGTAGGAGCATTAACCAACTCCAAATTCCCCCTCGCCGGGAGAAGGAGCCCCCAAAGAGAGATTGGAGCCATCCCAAGAACTCTCTAGCTCATTCTTTGAGATCCTGTACAAGATGTTTTTTTGAGGACTGTGTTTTTCTTGAGGACTGTGAGACTTAGCTGGAGGTATTTACCCAGAAACAATATGTCTCATTCAAGATGGCTCAATTCCCTCCTTGTTGAGGGATCAGGAGATCTATCTCCTGTCTGTTTTGGAGTACAACCTCTGCCAAGCTGTGTTGGCTCTTTAGAGCTATCTTGAGAAATCTTATCCCCAGAAACTTGATTCTGGGGGTGTTTATTAGAATGACCCTCATTTGTAGTCCTGAATAGGTATCTGAGATCTCCCAGGGGCTCACAGGTATATTGAGCGTCCTCTTCTGTTTTCTTCCATGACTTGACTCGTGAGTAGTTGAATCCAGGAATCGTGTCCTGGTACCTTGACTGCTGTGGGGATAGAAAGTATTACAGGGTAGGGGCTCTTCCATGTGGGCTGGAGTTGAGCCTTTGGGGACCCACCTTTCCAGACTTTAATTAGGACTTGAGTCCCTGGAGCATTTAGTGGTGACTCTTTAGAATCTTTTGGGTCCTGGTTGACACCCCACAAAACGTATATCTTGTTGGAATTGCCCAATGGCCATGGTATAAGACTGGAGGGTTTGAGCCTCTGGATCTAGGAGGAGGTCACTGACATAAACAGAAGGCCTCCCATATAGCATCTCATAAGGACTAAGACCAGCCTGTCCCTTAGGGGCAGTACAGGTGCAGAGGAGAGCTGTTGGTAAAGGCTCCTTCCATCCCAGGGAGGTCTCCTGCGTTATCTTTATCACTGATTTTAAGAATTGGTTGGCTCTCTCTACTTTTCTTGAAGACTGAGGCTCCCAGGCACAATGGGGATAATAAGTAATGCCCAATG